AGCTGGAGATGAAATGCACCCTGGGTGACCTGAGAAGTGTCTCAGGAGATGCACCATCCACAGGTGAGACCACAGGGAGATTTAAACAGAGCAAGACCTATGACAAGGCTGTCTGATCCTCCATGAGGGCCCAGCCTGCTCTGCTTTCCATCCGTATTTTGAAACCACACTTAAGTATTCAAACTAGAAGTCGACTGTATTCAATGAAGGACCATTGCTTTTACAGACTTACACTGTAGCATAATGCTGTTTTCTGCTTGAAGAGAAATCCAGTACAAAATCCCAAAGGTTTCTGATTGCTACTGAAAGTGATGTTTTTCAGGAATTAATCCTTCCTACCCACAAACATACATGAACAGCTATTGGGGAAGCCCAAGGGCATATCCTAGACAAGACACCAGTATTTGGGTATTAGAGTATTTAAGAACAAAAGGTTCATATTGCCCAAAGCCCAGCTTGTCAGCATTTTCTTTGTAGCTATTCCTGGTTTGTTTCTGGCTTTTCCTTTAAGAAGTAACTTTGCAAAAATTGGTACTTTGGCACAGTACCTATTAGACAGCTCCCATCTGCTGGCCCAATTTATAGCCACTGAATCTGCCAACAAAATCAAGTTTTTATTGCCAGCCACATTGCAAAGCTTATAAAGCTGTGGGAAAATGGGCTACACTCAGTTTCTCCTTATATTTTGTCAACCAAAAAGTTTGTGCTGACACCAATCCCCACCAGCAACGGGCACATCCAGGGCAGCAATGACATCCAGGGCAAGAGGCCCCTTCAGATACACTGCACAATACACAGGTGGATTTATTTTCTCAGCTCAAGGTCAAAGTAAGTGTAGAGATGGCCAGAGAAAAATGTGTATATACAGCAGGTATTTTACACTTCATATTCTAGATGAAATTTACCCTCAAATCATGTGCTGACTTCAATCACAAATTACACTAAGTTACTTTGAGAGGAAGTCTACATTTGGGGATGGCAAGAAGGATGAAAAGTACAAGCCAAGACAGCAGAGCAGTAACAGGGGATGAAATGTCTGATATTAAAGGCGAGTCTCTTCAATGGCTCTCTAGCAACCCCATTGTTAAGGAAACATCCCTGTCTGACTATCCAGGAGCCACTCTGGCAGTCACTCTCACACCACCTGAGCTGGAACCCAGGCCCCTCTGCAGCTGCTCCCCCCACACTCACACAGTCAGAGCAGGTTTCCTCACCACCTCCACCCCAGGTTTCCCAGAGCAGAGTCTCAGATGTCCATATCCTTGAGATAATTTAATAATGATGCAATAACTAAATAACAAAATAACAGCTCCAGTTGGTTCCTCCAAGGAGGGACCTGGAACAAAGGAACCCCTGGGCTTTTATCCCCTCATGGTCTAAGCATTGGAAAAGTCTGGGGGTTGTCAGCTCCTGCTACTTGCACTGAATGGATTCTTTAACACCCATTCCCATTGCACAGCCCCAGTCTTTTACTGCCTCCACTGCCCAAAAGAGGCACTCATCTCCCTCAAATCAAGCCAAGCTGAGGAAGCCAGGACAGCAGAAAATTAGTAATCTATGTATCAGATGGGATTCCAGTGAAACCCACCTCCCCATATGGCATTTTCTTTTGTCTGAGGCAGTTCTCAGCCACATCAGCTCCCCTGACACGTTTCACCGTGCAGCTATTCCAACATGCATGTGTGCATAAGCAAGGAGACAGCAGAGAGACAGGGTTACCCCCTGACAACAGGGTGACCCCAGCTGGGTGACACCCCGCTGACAAGTGATGGGAAAGGGCAGTGAAGGAGCACCATTCCTCCTTCACTTTAAACCAAGGAAATGGGGATTTTTTTTTAGAAGATTCTTCAATATATAACACTATTCATTTCTTAATTCCAAACCTCAAAGCTAGATAGATCCTCACGAAACTGTGCTTTTTGCCAGTTACAGCCTCACCCCCAGTTTTCCATATTTCTTCAATTCCAGAGCATGACAAGGAAGGCTATGCAGAGCCACGGGACAGTATTTAAGACTACTGAACACATTTAGAAAGCTTTTGGTACATGAGCAAGACAACACATTCAAAACCAAACCCCCCCCCCCAAAACCACCCTACCCCTCCAAACCAACTTACGATGAAGCAGTAAGACAATTCCTGCAGGCTTTCAGAATTCAGGACCTGATGGTGGATGCAAAACAGCTTGTAATCAACAACACACACAGCCTCCAGAGGTCCTGTTAAATGTTTTCCAGGATAAATTTAAAGGATTACAGGAATTTTAGATACAGATGCCCTGCATAGAGAATTTAATTCATTTACTCAAAACTTTATGTAAAATATGAGTGCTATGCTCTATACCCCAAAGTAAATGCAGGCATAGTGCTTAAGTAGCCCTTACCTGAAAATAACTATTAATTGTCACCAAATGTTCCAATGTAATTACAACCATGATGCCCATCAGTTGTTTAATTTCATTTTCATTAACAGCTGTGAAGCAACAAATGAAAGGACAAGGAGAAAAATCAAGTCAGCCCCAAAACCCTGAAGCTGCAGTTTTCATGACTTTCAATCAAACATTAAAGAGAACCTGCAGGTTTGATCCTTCTGGAGGAAAACTGCCATTTTCTACGTGTTCATTGAGCCCTGACTTGTCTCAAATTTATGATTATTTTTCCCTGTGTCCCAATTAGAGGGATGGCTTTGTCTTCTCCCATACTCTTTTCATTCAGAGAAGTACCTCCTACAAGGAGAGAGGGGTTTTGTTCAAAAAACAAGTTATGTACTGGGTTTTTTTTTTATGGTGTACAGATTTTTTTTTTTAATTTTATAGAGATGACTCTTGTATACAAGCAGGTATTCTCAACAAAAAATGGCAATGGATGCTGTCACAAAACTATGATGGTAAAGCAAAACTGGTAAATCCAATGGAAATACCCATTATAGAGTGCATAAAAAAGAGGAGAAAGACAGACAAGAGAGAGGAAGAGAGAGGAAGAGAGAGGAAGAGAGAGGAAGAGAGAGGAAGAGAGAGGAAGAGAAAGAGAGGAAAGAGAGAAGAGAGAGGAAGAGAGAGGAAGAAGAGAGAAAGACGAGGAAAGAGAGGAAGAAGAGGGAGAGAATAGAGAGGGAGAGAAAGAGGATGAAGAAAAGAGGGAGGAAGAAAGAGGGAGAGAAAGAGGGAGAGAAAGAGGGAGAGAAAGAGGGAGAGAAAGAGGGAGAGAAAGAGGGAGAGAAAGAGGGAGAGAAAGAGGGAGAGAGAGTGCACATATATTCAGGAAAACTTTTTCTCAACAATCTTCCTGTATTAAAAAGAAACCAGTTATACTTGCAAGTCACTTGCAGAAAATTTTAATAATTTGCCAAATATACAGCTATCAGAATGACCCCAAATATCACTTCTTAAGTTACAAAAGTTGGTAGATAGCATAGTACAATGTTCTATAAAATAAACACAGGTAATATTAACAATACCTCCTATGGTCCAAGAATGGCAGAAAACAGCAAATGAAATTACAAACATATACAGATTAGAGAAGATTGAGGGTGGCTTTAGACACTTGAATCAAAGAAACTGAGACCAGACTAGACTAGATACATTCATCCATCAAGCATGTAGAATTTTAAGAGTTTAAAAACAATTAACAACACAGCATCAGGTGCAGTTTCACATGCTTTCATCTACTTTCCAGTACAGTTCCCAGAGGATTAAAGTGCCTTTGTGCACTCTAGTTTCATTTAGAATCAGATGCAACACACATTGTATTTGGAAGTTACTTCACAGGTCACTTTCTAAAAAAAAAAATAAAGTAACTATTTGAACCAATGTCCACAACTCAAACTAAGGTGGTTTTGAAATACCTTTGTTCTGACCATCTGCTACTAAATGTCACGTAACAAACTCCAAATCCACAGGGCCCACGTCCACTAAGTGAGACCAGAGTAAAAGATACTTACTCAAACATGTTTTCTGCTGTAGAACCTTTAGCTTTGTTAATTTTCCCCTTTCAAGCACATTTGCCCTCTGGATGATAATCTTCTTCTGCAGCACCCATTACACATTGCTGTGAATGTGAAGGATAGGCAGGGTTTGGCCTGTGGCTATGGAGAGATGAATGCACTTGCCAGATCACATCCTACTGTAACCCAAGCAATAATCACAGCATATCCTCCCTGCAAGACACCTGCTCAGTCCTCCTTAGGAACTCTCCCCATTCCCCGCTCCAAAGCTCAACACCACCTGCAGGAAGGGAAGGAAAACTCCATGCAGTTCCACTGTCACTCACCTTGCCCTCAAAATGTCCTCTTCGAACCCCAGGTAAAGATGTTTCCAAGCATCCCCACCAGCATCCACTCCCACCTCCCACTGTCACCTCCCACCAGCACCCACTCCTCCTCTTTCAGAGGAGTGTGCATTCATGCAGGATCTGAGGCATTTTAACGGTGTTTGGAAATATTGGCACTTTAAGAGCAGTTATGGGGCATGAGCTTTTCAGGAAATAAGAATTTCCATTAAAATATTCCACCCTGATGCTACAGAAGGTAGAAGGGCAAGGGCAAAGAAGGCACTCAGGAGGAAAGCTCACTTGAGGAAAAAAAAAACCCAGAAGAAATGAGGAGGATGAACAGCTATTCATAACTTTAAACAGCAGATTTGTGGATGCTTCCTACATTTGACAGTTCTTCACATCATGAAGTGAGCAAGTAATTCCATTCCCTTCACCGCTGCTGCTGTTACACCTGAAAAGGCCCATTTTAAACTCTGCACAATCAGGAGCTCTATGCAGGTGAGGGAGTTTTACAGGGGCTCTAGGTGTGTAACATATTAACATTACTTAAAATACCATGTGCACTGAAATATTTCAAGAACGTATACACTCTGTTAATCAAATTACTGGGAATTAGTGATTTCCTAATCTACTGAGTACTTTAAAAGTCCTCCATAAAATTGTGAGGTTATGGAAAAGAACACTGGCTACACATTACAGCAGAAAAAAAACCAGTACAAGTGTGATGAGAATCACAACCACAAGCCAAGTCTCCAGTTTAGTTCATAAAACAAATTGATTAAAATATTTTAAACATTTCATAGCGATATAATAAATTCCAATGTAATTTATGCAACAAATTTCACCCATATCCAAAAATACCATATATGTATATACTTTTTTATAAAACTTTATACAAATCAAGCTCTCCTTAAGTAAGCCTATACACACTTCTCATGTCACCTAGGTAGAAAGGCTTCAAAAGCATATATTCTCAGAGTCCAAGAGTGACAATGCTGCATGAGTCTTCCCTTTTGACAGTCAGCTTTGCTAAACCCAAGTCTTATTGCTTAAAATCAAATGACAGGTTTCCTCAGCATCCCCAGCACCCAGCTACACCACACCAGTCCAGGGCAGGGACCAACCCTCCATTTTTTGGGACAGAAATACCTACAAGCCTTGTCACCATTCCCATGAAGATTTCCACACAATGGTTGCCTGTCCTGTACACTGCAGCCAGAGAACAAAAGGGGCATTGCTGTCAGGAAGGGAGACTGATGGCAGTGTACCAGCTCAGTGACCAGTGTCTCCCTCTTCATCTCCTGATTAATTCCATATTCTGTTGAATGATTTCTGTGAATACATCTCCAGCTGTAACTGAAAACAATCGGATCACATACAAGACACCAAGTCTAAAATGTGCAACAACAATGTCAATATAAGGGCTTTGCAGGCTTAAGACTCACAGCTGGTACTATGCTCCAACACCTCTACAGTAAGCTTTATTTACAGAACTTCCAACAAAAAAATACTACTGTCTCTCAAGCTACATTTTAAATTAACAGAAATACATTCATAATAACTACCGGTACAAACACCATGATAAAATTATTTTTTTATTCAAAATATTCTGACAGGTTGACAATATTCCAGGTGCATTACAAACACTGCCATAGCCAACAAAACAATCCATAATTAAAGAGCATTCAAACACTGAGGAAGTATATCTTAAAGCAGAGACAGGACAGTGAGTGATACCAAGAGCATACAGATAATTTTCTAATAACTGACTTCTTTGAGGCAAATGTCTGATTTCTCTGGCACAAAATGGATTAAAATCCAGAAGAGATGAATTACTGAGGACAAAAAATTATGATGTTGCCCATATTTTCTATAAAACCTTGTAAATTTATCATACAAGGCCACTTAAGCCTGGAGTACTCTAGTGTTATGGAACAGAACAACAAAATCATAACAGAGAAATCAGCATCAAAGCAAACAAACCCACAAACTCTTTCTAGAATATGGCTTAAATTAATTCACAGAGATTTGGAAATACACTATAACTATATGGTGCAAGAGAAATACCAGGTAGAAAAAAAAAAAGTCTCTTTGTTTCTTGTACTTTCCCCTCAGCCTTCACCTTAATTCACATGAAATTGTCAACAAAATGGTACTGCCCCTCCTCTGCAAGCCCCTTTTCCCACACTTCAAAAACACTGTTACTAACAGTTGGTTTCATTCTTGAATGCTTTGGCCAATATGAGCTCTGAAGTTAAAACAATGTAGTTCCACACACAGCAATACCCTGTTTCTTCAATCGACCCAAGTTCTCAGATAAAATTTCAGCTTTATCTAAAACAGCGTATTTGCTTGAAAAACTATGTGTTTCCTTCTCATACAGATCACAGGTGTGAAATGAAGAACTTGCCAAGACATGTACACAGCTGAGTGCACACTGCAGAACGTTGTACAGAGAGAGCAGCGAGGTCACAGGGTCACAGTAAGCCCAGGTGGAAAAGACAAACGTTTCCAAGGACCACGCTAAAACGTTTTCATCCCAGGGCTTTGCTTTAAGCATTAAAATCTTGCTCTACAGATGGCAAGGCTTGGCCGTCTCCACTTTTCAAACAGCTCGCTGTATACATATGGCAGCACAGCATATGGAAGAGACACACCAAAAACGCTTTGGATACATCATCCTGACCTCAAGCATTCCATACAACAGCTCGATTTTTTTTTCCCATGAAGAAGAAAGAAACGGGACAGCTCTCAAATCGCGCAGCTTGCCTGTGTGTCACTAGAAGAAACCGGTGGCAGCTGCAGCCCAGGGTGGGAGAGCCCCAGCTCCACTGGCACAAGTGGTGGCTCAGCTGGTGGCTCAGCTGGTGGCTCCAGGGCCAAACAATCTCCACAGGAGAGTCCTTTGCCTGTACTGCTCAGGGCTCCAATCCGTGCTCCCCAGCAGCAGAAGTGTGAAATGCCTGTTGCAGAAACGCCGGCGGCCAGTGGCCAGCAGAGATCTCTGTGGGCTTACTGAGAACGCTCTGTTCCTCTGCTCCATTAGTTTGCTTCTTGAAGCAATGTTTTTGGAGAAGGGCCATGAGAACAACAGAGTGAGGCATTTCCCTTAATCAAAGCATCAGACACTCCGTTAACAGACTGACTTAAATCTTCTAAACCAAATTACTTGCTGGAACATTTTGCATCTGCGTACTTTTGCTCTCTCTTAGGAACTAACAGTTTCTCTAGAAATTGTGCAGTTTAAGCCTGTTATGGTATTTTACTCCAGCATTTTCTTAGCACCTCAACACAAATTATGTGGTTGATCATCAGTGGTGAACATTGGCTACAGACACCCACGGTGGGGGAAGAAAAGGCCCCCATGAGAGCTGAAAGAACAGCAATGTCTTCCCGTGACACGGAAAAGCACTTTTCGATGCTCCAAGCAAGGCTGCTGACTCAGCATGGGATTTCTCTCCAAGCAGGGTTACTCCAGTTATTCAAATACAGTAAACACAAAGGCAGTGCTGAGGACATCCATCCTGCACCTACCTTACAGCTTTCAGTCTATTTTCTAAACATTTGTTAATGGAGATGCGGCTCAGTGTCAAGGCTAAGTGGGCAAATGTCACCTATGCTAAAGTCATTATAGGAACTAACATAACCCTTGCTTCTGGTTGTCCTTGGATTTAAGACAACCACATACACTTCATTCTATTCATTTATCTATCCTGCTTTATATCTCAAGTATCTTCATCCTTTCACACTCCCTAATTAACTATCAATTATTTTCCTGAGTGAAATTATAAAAAGTTAAACCCTTCTACCAAAAGTACAAAGACAAATAAAATATAGAACAATACAAACCCAGTATACAGCATTACAAGTGCAGAAATTCTTCATGTTGTTGCTCTTTATCATTGGCCCCGATAAAAAAAACATAGCAAAGAATTTAGTTATCCAAAATACTCTGAAGTACTGTGATTAGATTTTTCAGACCATAAATGTAGCCCTCATCCTTTGCGTTGCTGGGAAACACGTGAGCAAAATCGATCATTCGGACCTCAACGTTTGCACTTTCCTTGGTCTCTGCTGGCATGTGATAGAAAACCTTTTCCAGTTGGGGTAGAACATTTCCATTCAGGTGCTCCTGTGCAATGCACGTGCTGCTTTTCCACACGTTGTCTTGCTCCAAGTTTTCAACCTTTAGTGAGAGCTGACTGTGGTGCCTCTTTGAGCACGACTTTTTGTGAAGTGCATAAAATTTGGACAAGCCTTTACTTACAGAGGCTTCAATTTTTCCATTCTCTGTAGAATTTATAACATGAATATTATTATTACACTCCAATACATCTCCACCTGATAACAGGCCTTTGGGCATTCCTCTCTTCTCCACCAAAGTGACATCACTCAACCGCACAGTTGTTGCCTGACACAAACCTTCGTAGACAAAAAGCAACGAGCTTGCATAAAAGTTGAGTTGTGTCTGGCCCTCAAACCACTCCAAAATCTTTTCAATCTTCTGAATGCTGGCAGCTACCACGTCTTTTCTCAAGCAGTACCCACTGTGGAAAAACTTTGAGATGCCTGCAAGAAATAAGATACATTTTGGGATTGTTTTCACCTCCAAAAGGAAAACAAACAATCTTCATAGTTCTTATTTGAAGGAACAGACAGCACTCAGGTAGTTCCCTTTCAGGCAATTATTAACTAAACCTAAGGTGGACCAAGGAATTCTGACACCATCAGTCACCTCACCTGCTGTATACTACTACTGCTTGGGCTTGGATTGTAAGTAAAACTAAATGTATCAAGCAAACAGTAAAAGAACATGGTTCCTGCTCCCCAAGTAATTTAGTAAGTACCTGGACAGTTTTGGGCAAATGTTAAATCCATTAAATTTTCCACAGATAAACAGTCTCAAGCAGCTTGTTATCATGGGTGTGTTGGTGTGTGCACCCTTCTGACCTTTGCTGGGGGACAGATGAACAGGTGTCAACTAATAAGTAGTTTGCATTAGTTATCACCAAACAGCCATATGATGGCAGCATTTTTATTTATGGTTAATGCAGAGCAACATGTGGATTGACTTCCACTGAGAAGGTCCCTTGAACTGAAAGATTCACTGGTAGCAGCTTTCTAATATAAAAGACACTTAGATATTCACAGAAGACAACTAGAGATTAAAAAAAATATATTATAAAAGCATTTAATACTTTTAAAAGGTTTCTATTTCATTACAGTTTCAAAGCTGCAAAAAAAATTCAATTCTACAACTATCACCTCCTTCTTAGTAGTAAAAGAGACGTGAGGAGGAAATTCCTATAGTCTGCACTACTGCTACAGCCAACTGCACTCTTAATTTCAGATTGACAGGGAGCTCAAATTACACAGGGAACAGCTAAAGACCCACCTGGCATGAGGACAAAAAAGGACTTCTAAAATGGGAACACACAGACTACTTTTTCCATACAGTTCTATAAGTAAGTAAATAAATGAAAAATATCCAAGTGCACTGAATTCTGACATCTGAATTCCCTTACCGTCCTTTACTGTTTCCTTGGTCAAGCTCCTTCCATAGTGTTGGTTTTGTGTCTCATAGCTGTCTGAGGAGACATGGTACACCTGAAAGAGGCAAGGAGGAGGCTCCATGGGTATTTTGAAACATCAGTATTTCTGCAGAGCAAGAGAGACTCACAGACAGGCCACAAAACCCTGGGCACCGTTTAGCCCTCGCAGTTTTTAAGTTTCTTGCAGTGGCCAGCACTGCCCTCTAGTGCTCTCCAAAACCCTCTCTTCAGCCCTTGGGCTCCAAGCTACAGCAATGTAACCATCACAGGGAACTGTTTTGTATGGCCCCTGCCTTGCAAATCAAAGATGAGACCTGAATCTATCACACTCCCACGGGTGTTACTGTGGATGTTAAATCAGTAAGACATAACAAGCAAAAATTGCAACGCAATTATTTTGAGTTCTTAGAACTATAAAACTATTAGCACGAGAGCAAAACAGAATTACCACCAAGGCCCAGCTTGCAAAACCCATCCAAAATCGTAATTGTCAGCACAAATGAGGTCACACTGAATAAATGACAGCAGCTGAGCAAAAGCTGGGTTCCAGCCTTGACAGCAGTACATCAGCTCTCATCTGAAAGGGAGGCAACTCACACAGGTACAGTTTTGTCCATATTGTACAAGCTTAAGAACTTAATTCAAAAATGTTTTATGTGTAGACACATTTTCTCTCTGACTGAAATAATTTCTATAGCAGAAACATGCCAGGCAGATAGGCCCAAGTATGATTTGTTTATGAGAGTGTAGACAATTCTTATTTGCCAAAATAATGGTGTTACCAAGCAGGCAGTTTTCTCTGGCAGGAACTTCATGCTTGGCACTTGTTCAGACCACCCAACTCCATGGCACCCATCCCGGCCACACCATTCCCTTCACCCCCCATGAAGAGAGGATCCCATGGAAAGCAAGTCAGGGCACACTGGTGGAGTGCCTGCTCCTGATCCCTCCTCTGGGGGCTTGTCCTTGCTGCAGCCAACAAGTGAAGCCCAGGACAGTGAAACAGCAGCACAAAGTGGTACAGGAGCAATAAAGAAAACAGAATTCCCTGTTTTCATTGCAGCCCTTCACCTCAAAACCTCTCTCCCCATCCCAACCACAACAAATCCATTAATACACAGGTCCCCACCTCCTGCTTTGCAAAGTAGCTGGGAAGAACTCTCAATAGCTCAAACAGCTCTTATTTTGACAAAAGGACAGAAGTAATTAAATTTGAAGTCCCCAAAGAACTTAAACCATAGTTTGTGGAAACTGATTTAAGTCACCAACCATGAAGCAAAGGGTCAGTAAATAATTCTGGTTATTCTAAAGAAATAAGAGCTGTAAGCCTGAATGTTTAAACTCACTTGGTAGCAGAGACACTTCCCACTGCTATGATCCCTATTTTCAGTGTTATGATATTTGGAGAAACTGAGGCCTTGACATGTATGAACTGCAGAAAGCCATAGCAGAGATGAATTATTCTAAAACTGCATTTGACCAATGTGATTTTGGGTTCACAAAATCATTAATTTTTCTCCACTTAGGTTTTTCTGGGTTTTTTTTTCCAAAGCACATGGAAGAAGTACAGCATACTACACAGGAACTCAAAGATTACTTAGGTTAACACTTCAGATACCAAAGTAACTCTCAGAAACATATGAGAAGTTTCAAAAACCTTTTAAAGAGCTACAAGTCAAAGGCAGATAAATTAAAAAATGAAGAAAGAGTCTGATGACAACATCTAAGTTCTCACTAGCTGTTTCCTGAGATTAAAATGAGTAAAATGAGATTAAACATTTTCATGTAGTCAGCTCAGAGGCAGCTTCCCACAGACATCAGCACTGCAGCAGTTCCTGACCAAATCATCTTGTTTACCAGGACCAGAACTTTATCTCTTCCCGTAGGAGCTACAGTTTTTGCGACATGGGCACTAGCTCAAAAATGCTGATTAAGATCTGCAAACTCATCTTGTTTTCCAGAGGAATGCTGAAGCAGTACCTCAGCCCCTGGGCTTCTGAGCTGGGTTTCCCAAGAAGTCACCCCACCTCTCCTCAAAATTTGCACAAAACCATTCCCCCAAATGTCTTTCTATACAGTTTACAAACACCCAGGCAGATGTGCATGTTTGGCACTAACAGTGCATTTTTAACTACACAAAATGGTCAGTGATAAAGTACCATGTCCCACACCCACACCACGAGTATTTATTTATGTATGTATGTAACTGCCTTATGCACTCAGAACACTCTCAGTCACCAGCAGGCTTGGCTGCAGACAGTGGCGTTAAAGGACAAGAGATCTGGGGAATCACAAAAGTGTTCTCCATGTTAGTTAAAGCTCTCATAAACAAATTATACTTGGGTCTATCTGCCTGGCATGTTTCTGCTATGGAAATTATTTCAGTTAGAGAGAAAATGTGTCTACATATAAAACATTTTTGAATTAAGTTCTTAAGCTTGTACAATATGGACAAAAGAGCTAAAGAGCTAACACTGCCTCGAGCCTTTGCTCAACTGCAGGGAAGAGTCTAGAAGAAACATTTCTGGAAAACCTCACTCAAATACAAATACATTAAACCCCATTCTGAAAGCAAGGGAACAGAAACCCGAGCTCAAACAGAAATAATCTCTCATCAGTTCTTGCTCCACCCTCACCTACCCCTCAAACACAAGGAGCAGCAGACTAATATCAACTTCCTATTAGACAGACCTCTTGCTTCACTGTGCTTTTGTTCACGCTGTCACCACTGCTAATCTGCTTTACTAACCCTTCCCAAAATGATATTTGTCTTTGAACCAAGCCTTTTCTGTATCCCTGTTGTTGCTGCTGTCTGTACCAGCCCATTCCTGTCAGAACGACGATAAGTCAGATCCTTACCAACAGCTAAGAAATTATTAGACAGGAAAATCTCATTTCTTATCCATATGCCACAGCTTGTTATGTGTTTGCTCTCTAGTCACAGGGAGGTTCATTGCAGAGTGCAAGACAAAGAAAACTCTATGAGCTGCAAAACACTGCCTCCTGCTTCATCAGTCATTTTTATATATTCTTAGTATGCAAGATCAGAGCTGTTCTGGCTGACAATGTGAAGGCTCCTCCTTGTGCCTACAAGCAGCTCCCACTGCACAAACAGCTCTGGAATCCAGTATGTTAACAGGTTCAGGATTTCAACTGGCAGTAGCAGTGACTCTGTATGGGCAGCACATCAAAAAAATCAGACCATTAACTGTCGAGGGAAATTATCTTTGGATGTTCTTAACCTGCACTTGGCTTTTGTTTCCCTGTGAGGTGTTGGGTCATTGCTGCTTGCATGCCCACGCAGCTTATTATACCCTTTTTTTCAGTTACAGGTAGTTCATCTGATGTTCCTGGACTGATGAAAACCTTGAGTTAAAATAAAAAGTTGGTCCAGTGAGGTCTTTAAAAAAAGCACAACCCTTGCGAGGTCTCAGCAGAGATACACAGTTTGGAAACCTTGTGACTTCAGCTTCAGGATATTAAACTGAGGAAAATAGGTATCAAATGTCATGTAATGTTAATTAGGATAATTCAGTACCAACTTCCATGGTGAGGCAGAAAAATATACACCCACTGTTCAAACACTTAACTGTGGCAACTCCCTGACTTTCAGAAAGTACAACTTAAATACACATTAAGAGTATTATTTCCTGTTTGGGGGAGATACTGCTAGCACAAATAAAAATCTCTAGTCAGTAACTTGCAGAGCTGTTTCACATCTGCAAAAAATAATCTACTAATCCACATTACTGAAAGTCAGGAAAATAACCCCAACCCATTTTGAGCAGGCTTGTACAGCACTCCAGAGGGCACCTGCAGGAGTGAAGGCCACCTCAGTGGCACACATGACATGGACCTGTGCACTGCTGACATTGCCATGCCCCAGCTGGTGCCCGGGAAGCAGCTTCCTGCACAGCTCCTGACATCCATCCCTGCTCCCCAACAGCAGCCTGGGATCTGCTGTCCTAAGCAAGGACACGGAGATTAGAGATCCGTGCTCTGATGCCACGGCATCCAGCCTTCCCTGGGCACCCTCAGAGCTGCCCACCCCTCAGGGTTTTCCATAAATACACCTGATAGTCACCCCTATGTTACACACATACAGGCAGGAGGGAGCCAATGTTCTGACATTACACAGAGGTTTCTGTTTACAACAAAGAAACTACTTTTACTTTACTTTACTTTACTGCACTTCTGACTGGCATCTGAATGTCAGTCCCCAGCCTGCTGCCAAAACTGGAGCCAAGCTGAAAGCAAGGGGTAAGCAGGGCTTACCCAGGCACATCTGCAGGGGGCACCTCCAGCAGCAGGCCCAGACCCACACACACACCTGGCCACCTTCTGCCTGTACCTCTGCCTGTCCAAATGTAAATACACAGGTTTCCTTCATGCCTCAGTGACCCCAGGTTCTCTGCAGGCCCATAAACCTGCCACAGTGCAAGATTTGAACAGAGTTTCAACAAGCCTTATTTTTTTCTTTTCTGAAAACAGAAATAAAGCAAGGATTTAAAGAAAAAGTAAGAAAAGAAAAATTTTTTTTAAAAAAATACATTCTCTTATTTGATATCTCTGCTTTACAGTAATGTTGTCAACTATCACTGCTGCTGAGAGCATGCCCAGTTATCCAAAACTATTTAAACAACACCTCCCATAATTTTGACTTTTGTTTTTTTAAACTTATGTTGTTGTTGCTAGACCACACGTGATGAAAGTACACACATCTCATCCCTGATTGCTGCTGCCTTGAAAATTCAGCACAGGAAGGATGCATCCCTGCTCCCCTGTTTCCAAGACTATGCTTAGACAATAATCTGCCCAATCTGACATATCTTTCACCATTTCAATGGCAATCAGTACCAAGAGGAAAAAATATATCCTTATAAAAAATACAAGATACCAAGTCCTTATGTTAAACCACATAACAAAATCAGAGTGCTTCAAAGACTAAGTGTACCCCCAAATGCTCTGACAGTCAATATAACATTTTAATGAAGTCCTTACATAAATAAGTTGTAGAATTGAAATTATGTCGAAATTTATTCAGTGAAAAAGCAGACTAATAATCTCCTAAATAAAAGAAACAACGATGCTGCAGTTCAATCATGAACCATCTTAAAAACAGCTTAATACAGAATTTTGGACTCCCAGAACTTCCATGAAGCATCTCATTAGAATACACCTCTTTCATGCCTCCTTTTCACATAATAAAAAAATATCTGCTCTGGGGTTTGGAGGAGTTTTTTTCAGAGCTTTTGGCTAGTTTCTTTCGATTGCTATGGGGTTTTTGTGGTTTGTTGGTTGGGGGGTGGTTTGTTTGTTTGGCTTTTAGTTTTTGGTTTGCTTTGTCTTCCTGTTTTCTTAAACATCAAAGCTTGAATGAGACTTAAAAATGTAAAAAAACCCTAGTTCTGGTAATTTTTTACTGTGGAAGAATCTGAACACTAGATTTGGTATTTACTAACTTTGTTACTCCTTCCTTCCTAAATCTTGCTATTCACAGATCAGAGCTTATGAAACTTACCACAATACTAGAAAGAGTTCATGAAGAACTCATAAAGCAGACTCAGCTACAGTCAGTTTGAAAACACCCTGCAGAAACATGTGCTGTAGATTAGGAAATTCACTTCTAAACCCAGCTTTGATTATTAAACTTTACTGCCTGCATGTTCATAGGTACAAACAACAGGGGTCAATGATGGGTTATACTGCTTCAAAAAAGTGTTTCGGAAATATTATGGAATAGATTGCAATCAGGATCTTCTGGAAAAAAGAAAACCTGCAGAAACTGGGAACTGTGGATTCCAAATGGACTGCCAATCTGAAATGAGAGCACAGCCCACACATTCTGCTTCTGCTCAACAGCATGCAGAATGCTCTGTATTTAACACTGCCCGTGCTGTGAAGAGATTTCTTATCTATATGTGTGTCTACTACTGAAACCATATTACAATTTGTGGTTTTGCTATTGCATCCAACTTACATTTAAACTCTCACTACTGCAATAACAAAACATGTCCCATCTCACAGAATCTCAGAATGGTCTGGTTTTGAAGGGACCTTAAAGACAATCCAGTTCCAATCCCCTGCCATGGCCAGGGACACCTTCCACTAGACCAGGCTGCCCTGTCCAACCTGGCCCTGGACATTTTCAGGGATGGGGCATCTGTTAAAGAAAGGAACCTCTCTACTAAACATGGGATTGTGGTTTTAGCCAATGTTATTCCAGTAACTTTATCTTCTAAATGCATTTCCATGCATTTATTCTGTCTCTGCAGTGTGTAAGATAAATACAGGTTAGCATGTCAAATGCCAGAACTGTGTACTATGTACTATGCTGTGCCAGACAGGAGACTCACTTTTTAAGGGCAAACCATACATATTTGATATATGAACAGATGATTGCTTATTTACCAGTGCATCAAAAAAAGCTGTATCAATAGCTTTTGAGATAAAAATACACTCTAAAAGTAAGTTTTGGGGTAAAACCCCCACCTGTAACACTTTTTGTTGTTTTTATCTCTTTATGACAACTTAGAGCACAGCTGCTTTAGAAAAAACATTAGCTACATTCTGTTTCTCCCAGCCCTCTCTTTCTTGCCCTTCTGAAATAGAAACTTATGAGGCAAGCCCCTTCCATGTTAAAAATAACACTGAATGGACTAATTCCTGAATCATGTTACACCGTGTTTTGTCCAGTAAACATGAGCAAACTTCATCCACCATGTGAGCTGTTCTGGGCAGTACAAATCCATTCAGGAAAATGTTTTATACTATGGCCAGAATCTTGCAAAAATAAAGCAAGCAGACAGGCCATAATCAAGAGGCAGAGAAACTGCCTTGTGAATTCAGACTTTGCCAAGTGTTGCAAGAGGGGAGGAGGAACCTTTTCAATTCTCTTTGGAAAACAACTTCCAACATGCAATTTGGTGCCAGAGGCACAAAACCAAATCTCATCTAGTTAAACACTGGATGGAAAACTGCACTGCTTGGGGGAATCATCAGTATACATCCAATCTGAATTAGGGGATTGAAAAAATTTCTACAACAGGACAAAGATAAAAATAACTGACATGTTAGGAACAATGGTCACAAGCATACCACGGAAGCAATCAATCATTTCTTTTGCACTGTCACAAAACAAAGGACATGAAGTACATTGTTTTACACATGAGATAAGAAAGGTTATGTAATGACACAAATCAAATCCAAAGCTATAATCTCTAACCTTCCTTTTCCATCCTAGCTGTTTGGCTGTTTTTTGAGTCGACTCCCACGTTCTTGCTCACAGGCTTACATAATTACTACACATGACCACTATAATTTATAGCTGTAGCAGCTTATCTCAAGGCAGAGTTAAGGCTGGGAGCTTAGGCAATTCCACACAAAACATTACAGAGATATCAGAATTAGCTCAAACAATGGTGCAATCTGGGTGCTATTGAACAGCAAGGAGGAAGCTTATCAAAGTCTTCAGCTATTTATGCATCTTGATGCAGAGCTTTAGGACCCCTGGCTTTGTGTATGTGAGAAGGAAGACAAAAATCTCACATCAAAAAGAAAATTACTTCTGCACCAACCACAGTAGGAAAAAATACTTTTGGATTGCATCAGGAACTCAGTACTGACATCAACACACGTCTGTTACTAAGCCACAAATGTTCTGTACAGCTTTTCTGTACAGAAAGTTTTAAAGTAGCCAACACACAAACACTGAATCTTAGTATTTCTAAGAGTAATTAAGAATTAATGTAGACATCTGCATGGCCTCATCCATGCCCAGCTAACCTTCCCTCACAGCTGTTCCTTGAGTGTGTAAGCATCAAAAGAGGTTTCCTCCTGATGGAAAGCTTTTTAAAATGTAGAACATAAGCAGCTGTTTATAGCTACATGCATCACCTCTGAGAGCTTACTTACTCTTCCCTAAATAGAAAAAATATGTAAAAAATATATTTACGAAAGAATATCAAGATGAAAAATGTGGAGAGGTTACAGTTCATTATTAAATTATTAGAATGACTGGTTCAGTATGTAAATAATAAGCCTAAAAGAAAAAAAAAAACAAAACCACAAAAAAACCCTTGATAATTTTAAATACCTGCTGTGGTGGTGAAGTATTAATTGCAACTATATTCAGTTCTAAATACCCAGTCCCTCTCTTGTACACATATACAGTGCCCAGGCTGTAAATAGCTTCCTGTAAGGGACCCGGCCAAGTTAAACACTTGTTGGGAACCAGGGCAGTGTTTTGGAACAGATTTCACACAGCAGTTAATACCAGTACTCCCAACACATTCAGATAATGCTTCATTTACCTAAAACACAGGAGGACTGTCCTTTGCAAGGAAAACCAGCCCCTGTACCTGTGTGGAACGAGATGCCTGAGCACAAGCTGAAACTGAAGACAAAACAAGTCCTTACCCTCATGCCGAGCACCAAAAAGCCAATCTCTTCCATCAGCGGGTACTTGCTGACCTGCTGCTGTATCTTCTCCACCGAAGCATACGGATCATAACTTTTCTGACCTATTTTTACATCCATTATGCAAGGCTTATTAAACTTGCGGGTCACATCTTCCAGTTTTAGATACGTATCTGTCAAAAAAACCAAAACTTTTGTAAGCAATGGGTCAGAGCAAAATAATTGCATAGCTTTAGCCAAGCTCCTTTGGAGGAAGCTGAACAGCTTAAGACTTAACATCACATAAGTTTTTTAAGAGTCGAATTTGTCTCCAAACGCTGACACCCACAAATTCTGTTGGTATGAAATTCTAAAGGCTTTACTGTTTAGAAAATTGTATACAATTAACTTATGCTAACCTAGCATTTAAATTCAAATTATTGCCCAGATAAAAATCAGTGAGTAGCTTTTATTAGTTCAGTAACATATCTCAAAGAGCATTACTGAGCACATTCAAATGCAGGTTACTGCAGGGATGGTTTTGCAATGCAGACAGTGTTTACTGTCATTTTAAAAACCAAGTGAACATTTAGTCCTACCCTTCAGGGGCTGAAGTGCAGCTCATTTGGCTTCTTTTTATCCCACTCCCATCTGTACTCATTTCTCATGGCACATCTTTTGGGGAGAAAACTCTTCAAATCCTTTAAATGAATGCCTTTCATCCATTTCCGACAGTCCCTTTGGGAGGGTGGCTGGACCAAAAAACCCCAAAAGTACTTGGAGTGCCTGAAGATTTAAAGGAGTATCTAAAACCTCATGAAAATGGCTTATGCTTTCCTCCAGGGCAGGTAAGAGGCTATTACCAGCATGATGCCCAGCACTGACTGGCAGAACACAAGGAAATGAACTTCAGTAACCCCCTGGCTCAACTCTGCTTGGGAGATGCCTGCACCCATCTCCAGCCCTTGCCAGGACACCAGGACATGGCATGCACCAAGACAATACACAGCCTGAACACAGGTCTCATTCTTTACATCTGCTTCTTCAAATCCACCTGTCACCAGGTACAAACTTAAAGTCTGGTTTTCTATTCCATGCATGTATTTCTTTGACTTGATGTAGCCCAAATACATAAACATTGCATTATTCCCCATTCCTGCAGCATGATCTAAAATGAAGTTGCCAAAGAATGCAAAACCAGTTCAAATTTAAAAAGAGCAAAGGCACAAAGTGTTTTGTTGGAAAGCTGTACAGACAGGTAACAAAACCAGTCGGGGTCAAGACAAAGTGAACAAGCAACGTTTCATTTCCCCTAATAAGAAGAAACACTTTCTTAAGAAAAAGAAATTACACAGACTTTTATTACTTTAAGGCCTATGAGAGCTTCAATTTTGACACCATCATGATCACCATCATGAAATGTCCCAATTTACACCATCATGAAATGTTCCAATTTCCCGAAGTGTGTATTTATCGATCTGAAATAGGTTTAATTCAAGCCTTAGATGCCTGCTTTATGTATGAATGGGACCAGGCATCTTGTCAAGGGAAAGTCATTCTCAGGAAAACCTGTCAAATCAATACACTATTTAAAAAAAAGAATCCACTTTTCTACTAGCTCACTGTATCAGCTTTCAATTTGCATTGGGCCGCAGGATCTACAGCAAAAGGAGTTTCATTTTAGACTAGCTCACCCACTAACTACAACTGCAGAATACATCCAAGCTTAAATAACTTGTAGTTAATTCTGAGGAGCCCCAGGTAGCAAACATGCTTGGTATTTGCTCAGTGAATATCCCCAAGGAAGAAGCAGGACAAACACTCTCCACACCAGGCAGTGTATTCTGTATCAGGCAGGTGCCACTTTTACTACTTGACATACAGAGATCTAATTCAGTCAGATATCAGCACAGCTTTTGTGGGACTTTGGGGAACCACCACCAAAACCTGGGTAGGCCATAAAACCTGTTAGCTACCTGTTATTAAAAACTGTAAAAATCTGTCATCCTTAACACCAATCCTTTTCGCATGCTACAGAAATCACCGAAAATGACAGATTTGTGTCACCATTCTAAAACAATCCAGAAAACAACTAAATGAAGTTCAAATGTTTTCAGTACTTAGCTCTCAAAAAGCATAGAGCCACAGGTTTGCCATGGGAGGTGAAGAAAGACAATAAACACAAAAATATCTTAAAAAAGGGCTGCAGTCCTTCAACACCAACCCCAAAATGCTTTGGATCCTGTTGTGAGCACTCTGGACTCAAACTGTTACAAATACGAAATTATACAAATTGCAAGTTACCACAAATGATACAAATGATTTACATAAAATGTTTTCATCAACTCTAAAATATAACCATATAGATAGTAGTGTAAAACATCTGTTTCCATGAGCACCCATGGGTATCTGCTGTCCACTACTCCACTGGTCTAATTCCCTCTTTTTAACCATACAGCGCCAACATTCAGCACCTCCCAAATATTTAAAAGTCCTAAATATCTGTCACCACTTAGTTCACTATTCATTTCAGATTTGTTAAACTAGACCTCCTAAAAATGTAACAATAGCTATTTTTAAAAAATTAAGCATTAAAATAACTCCATAGCTAACGCTAACCCTCGGAAATACTAATTATTTGGCAAAGCCTGTGAATTATCCAGAAATTACTCATCTCTCTCACACTTTTTGGAGTTATTTAAGTCCTTCTCATTAGGTAACTGCTAGCTCAGAATCAGGACTTTTACATTTGTTCAGTACACATCTCTGCTCACACAAAGCTGTCTGGCCTTGTGGGCAGAGCAATGCCACCCCGGATAAAGCATCACAACGAGTTATTTTTCCCTCATCACAGCTTCAGAAAAACAGATCAAGTGTTCACACTGGTTTGTTGGCAAACCCTAAGTGTCCTTCTCAAGAGCATCACTGAGTCTGAACCCGAGCCCAAGTAACCAGGGTGCTCTCTTCCTCTTCTTGTTTTGTTAAAACAACAACCTGCAGATTTTTGAAGCAATTAAGACTTTCTAAATTATTACATAGTGCCCTGCTAACCCAGTGTACTTCTGGAAGTCATGCATTCGCCATCTAAATTCAGATGAAATTAAAAAACCTCAAAGAGAGAAGAATTCATAACGATTTCTGTACCTTGCTTTGCTAGCAGTAGTCCTGACCATATATTATGAGGATTTAAATAAATCATTCATCACAGACTTGCCCTGCCCACTTCTATTTACTAGTGGTAGGAGGATGTGCCTTGACATATTATTTACATATTTTATTACAGTTCCAAAGGAGACAAATCAAAAGACCACTAAAACATGCCAGTGTATTCAGTACACACTGCAGACAGAAGTGACAAAATCACTTCAGGCATCTGATTTCTTTTCATAACTTAGAAGACATCTCTCAAAACACAGAAATAAGCAGAGAAAAGCCTCAACTGCCCACAGCAACAAATGAAGAAAGATTTGAAACTGGGTTACATTTATCTACCCTATTCTTAAGTTAGGCAACCAAATTAGACAATGGTATGAAGCAGTAAAGTCACTTAAAAAAAATATAAATAAAAGCATGGGCAACAAGTAGGTAGCCAAACCCAGAAAACTCAGCAGCAGATGGCTCCTACATCTTTATAACTACTTTTCCACTTCTTTGTGAATAAACTCCAAAAGCCCACAATGCCAGTGAAGATAAAGTTCAAATCCAACCAATTTTAGATGAGTTTAAGGAGACAGAATCTCATCCACCTCTACCTCCATTTCCTTTGCAGTAGCACTGGGTATGTGATTTCAGCAGAACAGGACAGTGTTTTCACAAATTGTATTGATACTGGGAATTCATCTTTTCCATCATACTTTCTACATTTTCATCTACATTTCATACATTTCACTCTTTTTAGATAGCTATTTAATCCACTTATCTACCTTTTCAGCATAGAAGACTGACAGTTCTTCCTAAATATTTCTGTAAGGAAACAAATTCCTTGTGTTCTTCACCTTACCCACTGCAGTTCCTGCTTACTTGTCACATGAGAGAGGGTCACAAATCAAGTTCAGAGTGGTCCTAAATTAAGTTTTGTTTTTTCAGAAGTCACCTATGTCCCTATTAGCAACAACAGGGAATTACTGGGTTCATGGCTCAGAGGTTGTACGGAGCTGTGTCCCCAGAGCCTGTAAAACAGCGATTGCCAATGGAAAGGTCAGGCTTCCAATGTCAGGACTGCAAAAAACCTACAAATATAGCCTTAATCTACAATTAAGAACAAGATACACATGCATTCTGCTAAGCTTCATCATCTCCAGCATCTGTGATTTCTATCAAGACTACACAAAGCTCATTAATACTACAGATAACAGAGTTGGCAGTGCAGTGTTTTGGTTGAACCACTGCCATAGCTTTCTATGAAGAGGGCTCCTGTTAGTGCACAGTCTTTCCAAGAAGAAAAACAAACAAAATCAAAAGTTACTCTTCCTTTAAGCCATTATTCCTATGTCTGGATGACTGGTGGAGACCTGCCAAAATTCAGTCCCATGGTGCAGAGTGCTAGTGAATTCCCAAAGCAAATGAGGGTTGTGTTGAATTACTATATCTTGGCTAGATTTTTATTTTTATTTTTACATCTTAAGATCACACTGCAAATAGAAAAAAACTATTTGCAATTGGAAGGGGATGGATATTAAGTGGGCTCCATGACACACAGAACATTGTGAGGGAAGGAAAAATATAGCTCTGGTAGAGCTATTTGAGCTAGTGCCAAACAGGAAAGCATGAAAGCAAATCTGAGCCAAGAAAGTGGCAGTGTTACCACAATCTTCCTTGGATTTTTTCTTGCAGAGATTAGACCATGTCTTTGGACTCTGTCTCACTACTGTCTTTGGAAAACAAGTCTATCAAGTGACAGCATAAGCAAAAGAAGATGGAGTTATTTTAAAGGAGCACAGTATCTAGTTTTGGTGCCCATGTATTTAAATAGACTCGACAGCAGCCCTTTGCTTTGGTATGTTCCAGAAGCTCTATTTCCCCAGTGTGAATAAGAAAAGTCCCCAGAAGAAAAGCTAGTTTTTGTTTTAAATACAACAATAATACCTATTTTCCCTTGAAGAGACAATCTTCCAGTTGCTCTACCAAAATACCTTTTTCTTCCTGACTCCCAAAATTTAAGACACCAGATCTTTGTTCCATTCAAACCAACGACAGAGGATGACAAGTGGAGCTCACCAGCATGGTACCTGCTGGAATAACTGCTTTGTGTGAAAAGGTATGATGATGGGATCCAGCCTCTGGAGATCCAGGAGCAGATTCCAGTTTGAATGCTTCCGTTTCAGCCCCAGCCTTTCCTTCCTTCCACACCCACAAGGTGCCTGCCTCTTGCTCTGATGGCCTGACTGGACACAGCCATGAAACCAGCCCACTCCTCCAACACAACACAAACCAGACCAGCAGCTCTGAGGCAACATGCATCAGGCCCAGCTACTCAGGAAACCTTTGGTGTACAAACAGCCGCGCCCCATCTTCCCTGGGAGGAAGACCCCAAAGACCTAATCCAGCCCCAGGACTGCAAACTGAAACCAGCTGTCAGAGGGAACATTAGTGGGTTACAAAACAAGACCAATAAAAAAAACCTACGGAGCTCACAACTGCCAAAGATCAGTCTCCAGAAAATATTTCCAGAACGCCTGGATTAACAGATAAAATTAGAACAGTACCATTTGGTGCAGTAGGTGGTGACCAGACACCGAAGTATTTTGGCAGATATTTCCGCAGCTCCAGAAGAATGCTGTCACAACAGTCAGGGTCATAAACCTGAAATAAATTAGGGAGGGTTGGAAAGATCATTTCTTTAAAAACACTCATTTTATACTTCCGATTGTCCCATAGTTATACTTTCTTACAGTCTTTGTTTTCGTAAGTTTAAGATTTCTACTGTACATTTAAAAAACATACAAGATAAGGATGATAATTATCACAGTCCAACATAAAGAAGTAGCATCCTTTCTTTCAAATTTTGAAGTGGAAAAGATACATCAACTCCAAGAATAATTCATGGCTTAACTTGAATAAAAATCTAAACTATAATTGTTAACTTCAAAGCCAATTTAGTGAAAAGGGTGTTCTCGCATCCTGGATGTGAGACTGTAGAGGATTACTGCATTGTATCATGTATCCAAAGCTTTTTAAATTATATCAGGTAAAGTACATAGGCTCAGACTAGATAGTATTTTCTTGTCTCCTCCAAAACAATTCATGCTGTAGGTACATCACAGAGATTATACACAATTCAAATATATTTCTTTTCATTTAACGCTTTCAACATTTTTTTTTTAACTTCTGTAGGAAAAACACGAACAGTTTGGAAATAGCAGTTGGTTTATATTCCTGAAGGAACAATTCCCTGCAGAGTGAAAACAAAGCCTATGGAATCACGACTGTCACCAGTTTGTGGTTTCAAAACCATTGCCTTGCCCAGATTCACTCCCATCCCACCCAAAGATGTAGTTCCAGACATAGGGGATTGCCTATAGGTTTCCATGTTCTTTGCAGACTAAATGATCTATATCCACTCCAGTACAGGTTACAATGACAGCTACTGCATTTAGGAGCCCTCTCATCCCAATCCCCCTACAGTTCTCCTAGCTGTGATGCCATCAGAGTACTGTCCTGCCCCTCAGCCCCACAGTGGCTGCACAGCAATACCCATGGATGCTGCACAGTGACCAAACCATGCTAAAGGTTCTGCTTTCACTTCAGTGCAGCCAGAGCCCACTGCAAAGTCAGAAGCAAGGCAAAAAAAGTCAAGTGTTAACAGCTCTGCAGAGTTGGCTCAGCTCACTGTGTCAGACCACATTTAACCTCAGTAGGGGAATACCTTGTGATGGCAACTCCAGTGGGGAGGTATTGCAAAATACATGCCTATGTTGTTGCAATGTTTATACAACTAGGGAGAAAAAAACCCAAACCTGAAGTCCACCTGCAATTTTTGAGAATCAAGGCAAGCCTCGGCTATCCTCACCAGTGCCAGGTAACTCTAGACAGAACCTCATTCAGCAGCAGTTAACTAAATAAGTTAATATTAACTAAATAAGTTAATATGCGTTTGTGCTAAATTCAGGTTTCACTGCAGAAACCTCAGACTCAAATCACCTGTGTGTTTCTGACACAGGGGCTGCTCCACAGCTAACACGGGGTTCTCCTGGGCTTGCACCAGCCACAATTCTGACACCTTCATGCCAGCACCATTACTGGGCAGCGATCAAAAACACGATAAACCCAAATCCACGCCGACCGCACACCAGGGTAACGAATTTGACCTGTTCCTTTAACTAGTTCACGGGATATGCCCCATTTTCATGATCCTAAGGGAAGGGGCTGAAACCTCAAAGCTCAGACCACAAGAACATGTGCACAGCGTGTTGCAAAACGTTGGCACACCCCCCCCACCGCACCCTCTGCCACTACTGCTGCTATCTTAAGCATACAGAAGTTGCTGGGTGCGTATCTCACAAGTCACAGTCACCTCACAGGGCACTGATCTCTCTTCACACGTCATGATTCAACAAGCTGGCATGACCTCTGAGGATGACACATAACTGTACATCTAGGCCCAGTTTTCCTCCATGTTGACACAAGCTGACACGCTGGTATATTGTGCTCTAAGGCAAAAAGCCTTGCTTGCTCCCAGGATCAGTGCCTGCTGTGTATTTATGCAACATTTCTTCACCGAGCCTCGGGCATCGCCAGCGAAGACAGCGCTTTCTCCAGAAGAGAGATCTAGCTTGATCTTACTAGTTTAAGTAAGGAAAAAAGAAGTTGAGGGTGGGAGAGAACAGAGAGAAAGATTAGCACCAGGCAGATGCTGAGGCACAGCCCGGACTACTGCTCTCTTTTATAACAGCTTAGTGTTCCCCACTGTAGAGACAGCTGTTCCTGGGCCACGACTCCAAGCACTGACAGGTGGCATTACTTCATGCTGTAAGCATTTTCAGACCAATAGTACAAACCCAATTTTTGTTTACTGTGGTAGTTTATGATCACAGCACTTCACAGCCAAGGTAGGGACCCGTGTTGGCCCAGCACAAATGCTCTTTTCCCAGGTGAATTTAAGCAGATCTGAGAGGCAGTGACCATCGTGCAGTGTCACAGCCCTTACACGTGAGCAAGTACATATATTTAGGTCATGACCAAGAGGAGAGAGATGGAAACCAAAAGTGCAGCAGACAAGGAGAAGAAACACTGAATGTAACTGAAAAAACAAGCAAACATAGTAACTCAATTACTTAATCTATTGGCAAAAGATTCTGAGAAAGTGAAATGTCAGGAAACCACTTCTGTTTTTTAAAGAGACAGTACCCTTGACTTACTTTTTATCATCAACTTTAGGCAACTGAACTTAGCAACTTAGCAAGTAACTATGAGTATACTCCTGTGTATTCCAAACATCAGGATACAACAAAGATAGTCAGATAATTTATAATGGGGTCTTTTAGCCCAAAGTCAAGGCCAAATGAAGAAAAGAGCTCCAGAAGCCATGTCTTCCAAGTAGTCCATTCCTTAATATAGTGATATATGACATTTTAAATGGAGACAGAACTCCCAAGTAATGCATTTTTCAGTATCATTACTCTGATATAACAGAACTAAGTGCATTACTTCTGTCTCTCAAGAAGCTGCCTCACTCCCAGAACCAGTAATAAACTCCCTTCGTAAGTCTGACCTAACGTATACAAAGCACTTCTAATATGGAGACTTCTATATTATATAAACCTTAAGATAAACTTCAATCTTAGCCTGTAATGTATTGGCATGTCACACAAGAATAAGTATTTACTCTGAATAGAGATTAGAGGAAGTCACTTGGTGTAGGCAAAGCTATAAAACCAGATATTTCAGGAATTATGCAGGACATCAGAGCAGGGCCTTGTAAGCAGCACACGTGTCATGGGCTTTTCTTCTCAGTTCATACAACCTGTTAGCAAGCTACACACTTAGATGTCAATCAGAATGCCAAATACAGATGTATACATAACAACATCATCCCTAAGACCACATGAGAAATAAACAGTGTACCTCATACACCAAAAGGAGTTGCTACCAATACTGTTGGAAGACTCGTGAAAAATGCAGGTTATCACTTACCCCACAACAACCTTTATAAATAAACCATTAAATTTTTACTCACATCAGCAATATTCCACTTTCAGTAATATTTCACTTTCAGCAATAATGTTTTTTTTCTTTTTAATGCAACAATAGTTCCATTTCTCCAGCATATACTGACAAATAGAAGCAATTTCTCCACTACCAGTACATAATGTCTTCGACAAATTGAGAACTGCAAAATAATTCTGCCAGTTCATCTTGGGGAGGTATCCCTTCTATGTATCATAGGCTACATTCCTCTGATAGCACAAGCTGGAGACAGAAAATGTAGTAACTGCTGGACTTAAAAGCAAGTAAACAGGATGCTGACATTTGGAGGGCTCACAACATCACCACTGCAAATTACAGCCACTAACTCATGGGAAGAATACACCCCACACATGTCCTGTGGCAGCTCAGATAGTCTAACAGACCTCATGAAGTCATAATTTCCAGTCACTCAGGAGTTTTTAATTCCGAGGCAAATTTACCATCCCTAAGTTTTTAATCCAAAGTACACTCTGTTTTGGTGTGTTTCAAACAGATTCATCTGTTTTTTAATGCAAACAGGGGCGGCTTGGGACCACGGGAATGTTCTTTTTTCTTATTTAATGCAACATGACATTTGGGGTTTTTTTGTTTTCTAAAGACTAGCTAATGACATAAACGACAGAGGGAGGGTAAAATAAATGTTTAAACTTCAGCAGGAAACTAGTTCTGGCAGTACAGACCTGTCTCAAATTGTTCTGATGAAAAGAATACCACTTTGACAGGAAAGTAATCCGTAGAGAATCTTCCGAAGTATTCAGGAGTTAATTTAAAAGAATATATATATTTTTTAAACTCACATTTATTGTAAAGCTATTTGAGTAGGAAACTTTAAATGCCAGAGTGGGCATATCAGTCTGAACCATCACGTTCCTTTGTTGCCAGCTATCATAAACTATCCCTAAAGGTAGCAGCACTACAGCCTGCAGTCTCAGGATACACAACCAGCTGCCAACATCAGGCAGACAGTTCAGTGTCCAGTGTGGGTTTTTCGGGGTTTTATGAGCAGTTAATGCAGCTCAGTCATGTGCTTAAATTAGCAAATGCAAGATTTACAGGTGACAGTGCAAGCTTAATTCCCTCTCCCCCTGGGTATGTATTATATCACAGATTTTAATTACTTGAGCGCACACCACATTTCCCTCTGGACTCCTACCTCACCCAGTTACACCAAGCAAGTGCAAGGGCCAAAAAACTGAGGTTGAAACAGCACCTGTGACTTTAGCAATTCGTATCTGCTTGGCTTTACAGCTCAGACAGCCCTGGCTTCTTTTCAAAGTGGTACCATCATGGTCAGTAGTATTTGTTTCCATAAATACGACTGGCATTGAGCCAGCTCTGCTTGTATTGAAAATATCTGACACCAGAATAATTTCAAAAGTTAAGTATTTGTGAGTGATGTCATATTAAATGCTATTATACCAAACTGCTTATTTTACTATCCAATATACAGGTATACTAATGAGAATGCAATCATTCTCAATGAAGATACCTACAGGAAGAAAGAAAGTTTAGAACAAAGCAGGATCTATTCCTACAATCTGACCACATAAATGGATTTTTGAATAAAGACGGTACACACTTGTGACAACCATGCCCTTCTTCCAAGAGTCAGGAAA